AAGCATTAACGTAGGACCAAGAGTAAGTGTAATTTCATTTCCTGTTTTAAACTTGATAACTTATTTCAAGCAGTAATGATACCAAGGACATTTCTTCATAATTGGATATTTGATTTTGAAAGACAAACGTTTATAGTCAATTATTCCAAAGTAACGAATGCCTTTTTTTTTGTCATCAAATGTCAGAATACGTCCTATGACGAACTTCCTTCTAGTTTATTCTATTGTGTACTCAAATTTCAATATTCGAAGTATTTAAAGTGATTCTTACAACAAAATGGTTTTATATTTCCTTTCTTAAATATTTCAGGTTTCAGTGAATGACGTCAATGATAATGCCCCCGAGCTGCTTTCAATTCCTCGCTTCCAGCGCGTGCCTTTATCAACCTCTCTCTCTGACGTTATTTACAGAATAGAAGCAGCGGACAAAGACAGTACCCTGGCGGGAAACAATGAAGTTACCTACAAAATTTCACCCCCTAGTCCACTTTTTAATATTGATTCTAAAACTGGTGAAATTACAGCAAGTCAACCTCTTTTCCCTGTTCTCGAAACATTGAATATCTTGGCATTCGATAGCTCGCCAATAGTACTCAGCAGGTACGTTTAAACAATCTGGAATCATTTTGAAACTAACCAATCAAGCTACATTAAAACCGACCAATTACCAGTGAATAAACACTGTCACAGTTTATGGGTTCAGATATTAACAACACAGAGCAGCATATAACAACGTATAATTTATAAGGTACATACTGACATATATGAAAACAGCAACAACTTAATCATATATATAACTTATATAAAAATACAGATTTCTGTTATAGATGCACGTGCCAACAAATACATGATCGCCCCAACAAAACACTGTAAAATTGTTGTTGTTTGTAATTAAGCACAAAGCTACACAATGGGCTATCTGTACTCTGCCCACTACGGGTATCAATACCCGGATTCTGGCGTTGTAAGTCCGCAGACATACCGTTGTGCCACTGGGGGGCAATATGTAAAATTAACCCCTTTATACGAAAGTATAATAGTATTGTTTTAAAGTGCGGGTATATCACTCAAAATCATTGGGGATATTCCGTCTATCAGACATAATCAAGACAACAGACACCAAACATGGTTTTGTTATAGTTTTGATGGCACAGTCATTTGTTTGTTGGCGTCAAATAATAAAATGTAATAAAAATGTTGTATTTTTACATAATTATCTCCTAATAATCTTTGTTGTAATAGAGATAAGTGTGGAATATATGAAACCTTATCAAGAAAAATCATATAACTATTTCTTGTACTACCTTCAAATGATATGTATACATATCTATTATATTCCCAGAACTCAGTATAATCCTATATCCGTGCTATATTTTTAACTGTGGGAATGAGTTCTTTTAAAACGCGGTCGTATTAGTGCTTTCTAAAAGTTCTGTATTGTTGTACGTTATTTTATTCTTGGCCTATACTGAGATATGGTCGTGGTGTACTTATGTCTGTGTGGGCGTTATAACTATAAATGTTAATCTTATTATTCACCTCACTGTAGCCGAATAGATGACGTGTATGCCAATCTCCTCCCCCCCCCCCCCGGTTAGCAGTTCTGAGTTAAGGATGACTATTTCTGAGCCTTAGGGGGTCTTTGAACAATACTCGTTCTCTTGTATTTAACTAGAACTGATGAACTTAAACCTTGCACGCGGAAATATTCAATTTCGGTCTTTAATTTAATTAAATATTTAATTTCATCTTTAATTTAATTAAATATTTAATTTTGTCCTTACATTGGAAACGTAAACCATTTCTGTTTATTAAATACCCAGTAAAGTTGTATGTTTGAAGCTTTACGAACAGTCCGCGTATTATAATGTTCATTCAAATCCTTTGGACGCTTATTTCGACCTGTTTATGATGAAGTATTTCTCTCGTACATAGATTAGAAACTAGACAACTTCTAGCTCCAAGTGATTTAAGCGTCTAAACCAGATAACTTAAAGTTATTTGATTATGTAAAAAAAACAAAAACAGAGCAATACTCATACTGTACTGATCACGAAGTGCGTGAAATAATTCATTGTGTTAATATTGTGAAATATTTGTAAGCAATCTAAGCTTACAAATGTTTGTGGTCGAAAAATAAATAAATTTCTTTAAAACAAATAATTGTTTGTTTGTTACGAATTTCACGCAAAGCTACACGAGGGCTATCTGCGCTAGCCGTCCATAATTTAGCAGTGGGAAGGCAGCTAGTCATCACCACCCTCCGTCAACTCTCGGGCTACTGTTTTACCAACGAATAGTTGGATTGACCGTCACATTATAACGCTTCCACGGCTGAAAGGGGGCGAGCATGTTTGGTGTGACGGGGATTCGAACCCGCGACCGCAGATTACGAGTGGAGCGCCCTAACCACCTGGCTATTCCGGGCCATTATTGTTTGTTATAAAAACGTAGGAATCAACGATCTGGGATGTTTTTTTTTTTCGTTTTTGTTAACAAGTTAAATTCTTCATTTATGTACATTCGTTTCAAGCCTACACCATTTTAATTTCTAACCCTTAGTATTGAACATTTTGGTTGTTATTTCTTTTCTTTTGTTTACTTGTGACAGCTCGAAATGACTAAACAAGTCTCGACTTTTACTGTATTTTTTCTGTGAATAGAAATTTATTTAGAATCGCGTAATAAAGTAAACTATACTATATATATATATATATAT